TGCACTCCTTAATGAAAAACTGGTTTTGAGAGTAACTTTGCTGTTTCTTAGTTTTATTTAAAAATTTATTATTTTAGATTTTATAACAGATTTAATCTTTTCAAAATTTTTTCAAACTTTTTTAATATGTATTTTTACAGATTTCATATCTTATCTTTTCAAATTTCTCTTTTTCATGTTACGTTTTATGGATTACATCCAAAGGCTCCCTCTAGACCTAGACTACTGAAAATGTTTTTTGCTAACATCCATGCAGAACAATAGAAATGCATTTGCTCGTCTCTCCAGCTGAAAGCAGTGAAAAGTGAAGAGAATAAAATCTTTAAAGAAAAAATAAAATCTAATAAAAAAATATGAAAAAAAAATTGTAATTATAATTTAAGAAAATTGGTGTTAATATAGAAAGTTTTCAAAGTTTCATTTACAAAAGGTTTTCAACAGTAATGTGACAAAATTCACTCCAAAATTTATTTATCCTAAAAAAGACAAATGTGTTTGTGGAATTTCTTCTCTTAACTTTGATTCACTGCAGGTTTTCTTTAGTATTCATGTCTGAGGTCTGGGACGGCCATGAAAGAAGGTCGTTTTGTGTCTGATGTAGATTTGAAACACTGATTCTACACTGATGCCCCAGTTTCAGTTTCCTGGTTGAATTCCATTTTTTTTTTTTTATCAAAATCCCTTCGTACAGCAAAAAATGAATGACGCCAACAAGGTTTCATTCAAAGCATCGCAGATCTTGCACTGTATTTAACTATCAGAGTGAGGTGCTTCTACACATGTTCATCTTTTCTTTTATGCTGGATCCACCTATAGTGATGCTTTTTATATACATTTTTAAAATGAATATAGTTCAGCTTATAAACGAAAAGGATCATATCTAGGGAGATAAAAATAATGTAGTTCAACACAAATAAAAAATACAACTTCTATCTAAAACAAAGTTTCAACAAATATGAACGGTTTAACAGACAAAAATGAGAGAAAAATGGGGAAAAATATAATTAATGAGGCTTTTCTTTGATAAATTCCCAAAACTTGTTTGAGTGGAGACCATTTCTATCTGTTTTTGCAGGTCTTAATAAAAATATATATATATTTATATATATATATATTTTTTATCCCCATCCACCTTAGCAACTTGTGTAAAAGTTGCTAAGTGTCTTTCAGTGTCAAGCTTTATTTCCCCCAAGGGAAACAGAAAATTCTGGTTTATGAAGGAAAGGTTCTTGAATACTATGAAGAAAATTAGAGAAAAATTTTTTTTTTATATATATATTTAACCATGCTTAAGTTGCAGTTATGTAAAAGCTATTTTTATTATGGTTTATATACTCAGATTCTTTTTTCTTCTTAATAAATGTACTATAGGTAAGTTTTAAGCTAAATTTAAGGTGTCAATCTTTGATAATAAGAATTTGGCTTTTTGCAATTCTTTACCAGTGGTGCCAACAAATTCATCCCAGCTGCCCTTTAAGGAAACTATTATGATTTCATGTAGATATTAGTGTCAGTTTTTTTTTTATATCCCTTGTTAAATTTTAAATTAACTCCTTAATCTGTTTAGCAGAGTGTAGATAAGTAGATTTTCTTGATTTAAAACAAATTAAGGAGCGTTCATATTATTAACATGAAGGTGTTGACTAATTGGTTGACAGGTTGGTTGTCTTACTGTGTGATATTGTTTAAGGATTGGTATGGCACTTTACCAATGGAAGCGAAGGAGTTGCTTGTAGTCAAGATTTCAATTAAAAAAAGATTTAAATTTGGTTTGGAAGAGAGAAGTGTTTTTGACAGCTTTGCCAAATGTAGCAGAGGCCTATTGGTAAATTTGCAAGTCATTTATATACTATATATGCAGATGAAAATGGTAAATGAGCACAAAAAATAACTAATATGCTTCAATAAATTTTTTTAAAGTTTATGAATTCAAGTTTCATGGAACATTTCAGGCTCTATCTTATATTTTCCATGAATAACTTAAGGTTTATAATGCAGTATACCTAACCATAAAAACAAGAGCCTTGCTTATAAATATTTACCTTTAGTCTCAGCCATTGAAAAAAAATAATAAATATGTTTAATAAAGTAAATTATACAATAAATTATATAAAAATAAATAAAAGGCACTATTCCTTTCACGCTGCAAGCTGGTAAAGGTCAGATCTGAATAACAAACATTGAATGGCTCTTTGTCATTTTTTTTGGTCAGAAGAATAAATCATCTTTAACAAATACTACTGTGCATTATTGTCTTTGCATTTGTCTCAGTTTATACTGTTTTTATTTTTATCACACTGATTCCTCCCTTTTTTTTTCCACATTTCTTTTTTTTGGGCATTAAAGACGATACCATCTGGAGAAGCTAGTTGCTTGCATGCAATACATATTACATGCAGTAGACTTTTGCTCTATTAAAAAAAAAGGATTTCTGCAATTAGTATCCTAATTGCACGATTAATAGTTATATTGACCGGTTTCATTGAAATGAAACAGGAGTCTGCTTTTGTATAGCTGTGAACCTTTTGCATTATGAGTTAGTGCTAATTTATCCCTCATGCATAAATGTTTGCAGGAATAGTTTCAATGGCGTTGAGAACAATGAGCCCTTGGGTTCCTGGAAGCCACCAAAGTCGACTGCAAAAACTGAGCAACCCCACGGAGTAGCAGTACACTCAAAACAAGGCAGGGTGGCAACAAAAACAAAGATGCAAAGGGAGAGACACGGGCCACCAAATCCATCTACTTAATACCACCACCTCCCCTGGTAATGACTAAGCCTTTAACATGTTTAGCCAGGAGGCCAGGTTCTTACAGAAGCCAGAAGGTTCTCCATATATAAACAGCACTAGAGGCAGCAGGTTTGTCTATGCACATGTGAAATGTTGCTAATAATCAGTGTTTCAAGTTCATTTAAAATATGGGCTACTGATGGTGTTTTTGGATTTGTAGTTCTTTACTGCAGAGATTCCCCAGCCCTAATTATGTCACTTTTCAATATCTCGGTGTTTGTGCCCCAACCAGCGATTACTGTACTGAGATTGCATTTCCCAAATTTTGATTCTAATCATCCCTTTTAAGAAAGTTAATTTTCACAAATTTAATGTCATCCAATGTGAAGAGTGCAATATTACATATATATAGCTAGTCTATATGCCAGATATTATCCACCACTTGTTCCCTCCACATACACTAGGTTATCACAGTTTTTCTCGTTTTTATAATCAAAGTCAAGTTCAACTCCCTCTAGTCTTCTTTATACAGTCATATAATTATATCCAGTAGGGGGCAATGATAGTAAGAAACTATCGTCCCACTTTATTTTGCGCCGTCATATAATTTATATCCAGTAGGGGGCGATGATAGTAAGAAACTGCATTTTGCTCTCCCGATTAGTAAGAAAAGAACAAGAGAAGAAACCGGAAATTACGGCAGCTCCTTATCGGAGGAAGCAAGATAAACAAACGAATAAATTACATTATGTAATATTAAGAACTCGAACTTGACCGACGCCCTTTGGCATGTGGATGGTCGTTTGGTGCATGGCGCGTGTTTTGAAGCTGCTTATGGAGAAATGTCTTGGGCCGTGAGTAGTGAGGAAACAGGAAGCGATTCTTGTGGGATGGAAGAGGGAAATAGTGACAATGAAGGTTGGAAGATAGCAACATCAAAAAATGAGAAAAAGCGGAAAAAACAGAGATCAGTTCAAGGGGAATCTAGTTCAGAACAATCCAGTGATGATCATTCCATACATTCCACAGCACAACAAAATGAATTCAAAGTCATATTCAAAGTCGTTAATCAGGCAGACTCTTTTACAAATTGGAATCCGGTTCACTTAACAAAAACCATCAATAAACTTGTCGGAGAAGTCAGAGGTGCCAGAATTCTGTACAGTGGAGACCTGCTAATTAACTGCAGAGACAGCGCCCAGCAAGGCAAAGCAATACGGATCAACAAAATTGACGGGATAAGAGTTCAGTGCAGCCTAATGGAGAACAAAAAGATCAGCAGGGGAGTCATTGGAGGAGTTCCTCTAAAAATTTCTGAAAAAGAGATTCTGGAAAACATAAGCGGTGCAAAAGTAAAAGAAGTAAAACGGTTAAAAACAACAAGAAACGGAGAAAGATCTGACAGTTTATCAGTGCTAATTAAATTTGAGGAAGAGCAATTACCAAGCAAAGTATTCATCGGTTACATAAGCTATAATGTCAAAATCTACAATCCTCCACCATTGAGATGTTTCAAATGCCAAAAATTCGGTCACATTGCAGCAGTTTGTAAAGGGAAACAGAGGTGTGGAAGGTGTGCAGGAGAACATGAGTACGGAAAATGTGGAAAAGAAGCTAAAATAAAATGCTGTAATTGTGGTGGAGAACATACTGCTGCCTATCGCGGCTGTGAAGCAAGCAAAAGGTCTGAGGAAATTAAAAAAATGAAATTTGAGCTCGGAATAACCTACGCTGAAGCTGCAAAAAGGATCCCATCTCAGTCAGAAAAACCCAAACCTACAGTTCAACACACGGCAAATTCCAAACCTCTAGAGAATCAAAAAATTGATGAAGACTCACTTATTGTTAAAAAGACAAATTTTGTTCTTTTCATGGTAGAAGTAATTAATTGTACTGCACAGACAACAAAAAAAACGGAAAAAATCAAAATAATAGTGAAGGCTGCAGAAAAATATCTGGACATTAAAGATTTGAACTGGGAGATGGTTGGAAGTATGATGGGAGGACCGATGGGACCATCAGAAACTGGCAGAGTTAAGATGACCTAGAGTAAATTAAAATTATATGGGCAAATGTGATTTAGTATTATGTTGGTTTAAGTTACACAGGTTTTTTTTTTTTTTTTTTTTTTTTTTTTTTTTTGGGGGGGGGGGGGGTGAGTCGTTTTCTGTTTTCTTGCTTTACTCCATATCAGTTGGTGGCGGTAATGCACAATTCACAAGTCTGCCAACCGCCATAAAACCCCATAAGAAGAAGAAGAAGAAGAACTCGAACTTATTTCCCTTCACCTAATTCCGATAAGATAAAGTTAGGAGGCTATAACGGTTGATTTGGACAGCCAGGAGCTGAGAGCACGAGCGGCTAGCAGCATCTTCGGGTTGCTAGGCTAAGCTGCTCGTCATGTTTATTTTAGTGCGAATGAGCGCGACATGATTATGGCATGAAAGCGCTGATGTGGTTGTGGAAAGACGAGTTTTTCATCTAAAGGTATGGCTCAAAACATTTTTCTAGGTAAAGCTAAGCTACAGATTTACATTCTGTGTGGTTTCATGTAGACTTTCTTGCGTTATTCTGAATATAGCATTAAAACATGACAACTTGGACACTCCGTCCAGTTACTGACAGCTTTATTAATGTTTATTTTGCTAAACCGTTTTTTATTGCATCGATCCTTTTTTCCTCCCCTTATAAAGTCTGGTGATTAATCGTGTTTTTAATTGTTTTGTCCTGTAAATGGTTGAAGGTTGCAGCAAACAGGTGAAACCTTTGCTTCCTAAAAAAAAAAGAAAAAAAAGGACCCACATCGCAGCGTCAGCATGGCGTGGGCTCTGAAGCTGCCCCTCACGGATGAAGTGATCGAGTCCGGACTTGTCCAGGACTTTGATGCCAGTCTCTCCGGGATAGGACAGGAGCTTGGTGCGGGGGCGTACAGTATGAGGTATGTTGTTACCCTCAGGCTGAGGCCATTCTGCTTTTTTGTTTTGTTTCACTGTCTATCTTGATGCTGCATCTATTACAGATCAGAGAGCTTCTCATTATATTAGAAAATTACCTCTAATATATTAATTTATTTCACTGGTTTAATATGAAATCTTATTTATAGATTCTATAGGTGAATTATCTCTTTATTTTTAATCTTTTCTTTAAATGTTCTTATTATTATTATTATTATTTTATTTTTTTTATTTAACCAGGTAAAAAAATCCCATTGAGATTAAAAACCTCTTTTTCCGGTGAGTCCTGGCCAAGAGGCGGCAAAGTTACATGAGAAACAGAGATACATTAAATTAAATGACAAGTACATAAAAAAAAACATATCAAGTAAAACAATTACAGATCTTTGAGGCTGCTTCAAATTCTTTCACTTTCAACTTGAACGCATTTAAAAATAAAAACTCAGCCAGTTCTTATCAGTCAGTTTCTTTGTAAAAAATAATTCCACGCACAAGGAGCTGCATAGCTAAAGGCTTTCTACCCTAGTTCTGTGCAGGCAAAAGGAACAGTGAGCAGGTTAACAGTGAAGGGAAACCCAAAAATCTGGACTACACATTGAGGAAACTGCAGACTTGCCTGTCCTTTGAGTTATTGCTTTAAAGTTAAGTGGAAGGAAAAAGGTCTAAAAGAGTGAGAACCTCAACCATTAGAGCAGGGGTGTCAAACTGGTTCAAGAAACGGCCGTTTGGCTGCAGGTTTTCTTTCCAACTAAGCAATAGCACACCAGACTCCAGTCATCTAATAAAGTGACTCCAATCTGAACATGATGACTTAATGAGATGAATGGAGTCTGGTGTTCTATTGTTTGGTTGGAAAGAAACCCTGTAGCCACACGGCCCTTTCTGAAACCACTTTAACACACCTGAATTAGAGGATTGTGACAAAAAGCCAAATCCTTTGGGAAAGATTCACAGTGAATTAAGTACAGATGGGGTCAGTGCTTCAAGAACATAACATGAAAACATGTGTTTCATATATGCCTTGTGTTAATACACCTCTTAAACAAATACAGAATGACCTGAGCTAAAGGATAAAAGCACTGGGACTTCCCTTGGTGTTTCAAAGAGTAAGTTTTTCCAGGTTAAATGAAGCCTCTGCGCTAATCTGCTGGTGATTTGATCCACTGTGTCCAAAGTCGGAGCAGCTGTCATTAGAATATCCTAGAGCTCTTTTTATCTCTGTTTTTTGACCACCTTCACAAAGATGCTGATTGATTCTTTTGAGCAGTTCTAATGGGAGGCTAATGAAGCAACCAGAGGGCAGAGCAGACTAATGGGTTGAGTGCCTCCATGCTATGTGGCAGTATTCTTACCAAAATAAGTCCTGACCAAGTATTGAAAATGTTTACAACATGTCTATAGGCAGCTGATAACTCAAAATCTAGTCTTTTTTTATTTTTTATTTTTTTATAGATCCCATATATTGTACTAATTATCTTAGAGATAGAGTTTGTGGTTTCAGTTGGTTGTAGACCGTTAATGCTCTGCATTTCACTTACAAATAACATATTTTTTTTTCTTTTCTATGATAAATAAACCATCATATTTAGTGGTATTTGTAGATACTGGAAAAAAATATATAAATAAAAACGTTGAGTGGATAATTACTTTGGTAAAAGTGAAAGGCAATGATAAGAAAAGTACTTAAGAAAAAACATAAAATTGTTCACAATTATAATGAAAGTAAAATTAATATATTTGTACATAAAAAGAAGCAAGACAAACTTTTTTTATTGGTCCTTTTAATTAATTTGAGTTAAAAACAGTGGAGATGGAATTAGTTGAAAACCTGCTTTAGCCCTAAGAAAACCTTGATGTCAAAAACAACTCAAAATAACACAAAAACTATAATGTAGAACGTCATGCTTCCAAAACTGTACTTTTAACCTGAGAAACCTGTAAACGTTTTCTGTAAGAAATACAATAAAATAAGTCCACAAAATGTAGTTTCTGGTCAGTTTCTGTTGTTTAGGCAGTGAAACGACTTTGTTTTAGTTTCTTGATGATTTGACCACCTTACCATCCCTTCACCTTCTAAAACTGTTTACGTTGCTTCAGACAAAAAGTGTCACCAAATGTATCCCAGGCCTGCTGGTATACAGTAGGGAACAGCTCTTTCTCACATGCACATCGTGCACATTGATCTTATGATGGCTATTAAAGTTCAGAATTTACTTTGCGTGCCAAGAAAACATGCGAATGATTAGAATTTCACAGAGTGAAAAGGCCATGGTTTGCAGAGTCACTGACAGTCTCAAAGTTTTAATGTTTTGCAGCTCGTTTGATAAATGAACACTTATTGTATTCAGTTTCTGTTCAGTTTAGTCCTTTACGGGTGATGAATCCATCCAGTACTTTTCCAGTTGATTAAAGATCCCCTTAACATGCCTGTGTTGAGAGGAGCTGTGATACACGATCGAGGAAACGTTGGTATTTAGATGTGTCGCCCTTGCTTTTATTTAATGAGCTGCATGGGAAGAAAACAACATCACTCAGAGTTATTTTATTTCTCATTAATACTGTTGAAATGTATTGATGCTGAATGTTTGTTTATTTTTTATTTTGGTTACCTTTAGGTCTATTTTACCTATGGAAGGAAAAAAAAGAAGCTTTGTCAGTGTGATGCGAGAGGCTTTTGGCAGCTTATTGACTGCGTATTTCTTATGGCTTTACTCTCCAGCGACGTGCTCGCCCTCCCCATCTTCAAACAGGAGGAGTCCAACTTGCCTCCAGAATCTGAAAACAAGATCCTTCCCTTTCAGTATGTTTTGTGTGCACCTACCTCGCCAGCCATTAAACTGCATGACGAAACACTCACCTACCTCAACCAAGGTCAGTATCAGGATCCCAACTATGGTACGCTTTTCAACTTTGTGCAAATGTACCCTGGTCTAAGGGTACAAAGTCAAAAGCAAGTCAAACGCAAATTTACCCCCAGTGTATGTTGATTGAGGACATTTGTGGGGAAAAAAGTGAGATTTTTGAGCCCATTCTTTCTGATTCTTTTGCAAAGTATAAAAGAGGAAACTATTGGTGCACTCGCTGGCACAGAAACTGATGTTTTTCTTTATTAATAATTCTGGAAAATAAGAATTTGTGCAGGATATCATTTGCAAAGAAACATCAGAACATGCAGTACCTCATGCATTAATATCCCTGTAATGATTTCCGAAGCTGTTGAATTACACCACAAACTTTAGTGTATTTTATTAGGATTTTAGGTGATAAACCAACACAAATTAGTGCATGATGGTAAAGTAGAGGAAAATGGTTGTGTATACTAGGTTTACATAACTCTCAATTCTAGTGTTTAAATGCCTAAATGATTGCCTTATTGTGTCCTAAAAAGATTGACCTAAAATCATTAGATTTTTAAAATAATATTTAATAATATTTATATTTAATAATAAATAATATTTAAAGTATTATTCAATAAAGAAAGATTTTTCCTATTTGCAAATGTCTGTGTAAGTTAGTACACATAAAAAGGTGGGTTAGTTGGGGGAAAAAACATGCAAACACCTGAAATATAAATGCAGTTTTCAGTCTACAGCCAATATTGCTTCATGAATACTTGCAACCTCATCATAATTTTTTAATTTATATTTGATAGTTGAGAGTTCAAAATGATATATCGGCTAGAAATGTGATGGAAAAAGGTTTTTAAGATGTATGTCTTTCATTTTTATCATCTGCACCGACCATTACAGGGCAGTCCTATGAAATTAGAATGCTTGATAATCGCAAGATCGGGGAACTTCCGGAAATCACTGGGAAAATGGTGAAGGTAGGGGTTGGATGTTTTTGAACAACTGCTTGTCTGCATATACAACTATTTTACAAAAGTCCACAAGCTCTTTTTTCCTCCCCTTAACTTTAGAGCATTATCCGCGTGGTGTTTCATGACCGGCGGCTTCAGTATACAGAACACCAACAGCTGGAGGGCTGGCGCTGGAACAGACCTGGGGATCGGATTCTTGATTTGGGTAACGCCTAATTAATGAAAAGCTGTTGCTGTTTGAGTACTTTAAAAATGTTTTGGATTTTTGTCTAACTAGGTTATTACATATAGATCATTGAAGCTGTCTTTTGCTCTCTTTCATGAATAAAATTGCCAGTGGTGTCCTCTATTTGCAGCTTTTTTCACTTTAAATCTTTGCAGATATCCCCATGTCAGTAGGAATAGTCGACCCCAGGGCTAACCCCACTCAGCTTAACACTGTGGAGTTCCTTTGGGACCCCTCAAAAAGAACGTCTGTCTTCATCCAGGTATTTCCACGCATTTGTTTGTACAATTTTTTGTCCCTGCAGGTCCTAAGTGTCTGTCTCTGTCCTGCTGATATTTTTCTGGTCATTCAACAGAAAACTTTCAGCGTAATCATTGAAGATCATTTTTTAATTTTGGAGACACGACGCCGTCAGGTCTTTGGCTCAGTGGATTCGGACAGACCCACATAATCAACTGTGGGTTCAAAAGAATTGGTGGTACAAGAGAGACAGATTTGTCTGCAGGATATTTGTAAATGTTTAATAAGAATCAGTTGGAGAAGTACTGGCATAACGTTAGAAATGAAACACTGTGACATCCTACAGAGGACTCATCCAGTTTAAACCTGTCAGGATGAGGATGTTATTTAGAAATGGAGACGAGTCTTTCATATTTTAGGTGCAGGGAATCTTTGAAGCTCAAACCGCTGTGCAAAAGATCTAAATGATGATCATAAAAAGAAGACCATTACAGGTGCTGGTCATAAAATTAGAATATCATGAAAAAATAGATTGATTTCAGTAATTCCATTTAAAAAGTGAAACTTGTATATTATATTCATACATTACATACAAACTCATATATTTCAGATGTTTATTTTGTTTAATTTTGATGATTACAAATGACAACAAATGAAAATCTCAAATTCATCATATCAGAAAATTAGAATATTACTGAAGACCAATAAAAACAAAGGATTTATAGAAATGTTGGCCAACTGAAAAGTATGAACATGAAAAGTATGAGCATGTACAGCACTCAGTATTTAGTTGGGCCTCCTTTGGCCTGTATTACTGCAGCAATGCGGCGTGGCATGGAGTCGATCAGTCTGTGGCACTGCTCAGGTGTTATGATAGCCCAGGTTGCTCTAATAGTGGCTTTTAGCTCTTCTGAATTGTTGGGTCTGGTGTATTGCATCTTCTTCTTCACAATACACCATAGATTTTCTATGGGGTTAAGGTCAGGAGAGTTTGCTGGCCAATTAAGAACAGGGATACCATGGTCCTTCAACCAGGTACTGGTAGCTTTGGCACTGTGTGCAGGTGCCAAGTCCTGTTGGAAAATGAAATCTGCATCTCCAAAAAGTTGGTCAGCTGCAGGAAGCATGAAGTGCTCTAAAACTTCCTGGTATGTGGCTGCGTTGACCCTGGACCTCAGAAAACACAATGGACCAACACCAGCAGATGACATGGCACCCCAAACCATCACTGACTGTGGAAACTTTACACTGGACTTCAAGCAACGTGGATGAAGTGCCTCTCTTCTTTTCCTCCAGACTCTGGGACCTTGATTTCCAAAGGAAATGCAAAATTTACTTTCATCATAGAACATGACTTTGGACCACTCACCAGCAGTCCAGTCCTGTTTCTCTTTAGCCCAGGCAAGACGCTTCTGACGCTGTCTGTGGTTCAAGAGTGGCTTGACACAAGGAATGCGACAGCAGAAACCCATGTCTTTCATACGTCTGTGTGTGGTGGTTCTTGAAGCACTCACTCCAGCTGCAGTCCACTCTTTGTGAATCTCCCCCACATTTTTGAAGGGGTTTTGTTTCACAATCCTCTCCAGGGTGCGGTTATCTCTCTTGCTTGTACACTTTTTTCGACCACATCTTTTCCTTCCCTTCGCCTCTCTATTAATGTGCTTGGACACTGAGCTCTGTGAACAGCCAGCCTCTTTAGCGATGACCTTTTGTGTCTTGCCCTCCTTGTGCAAGGTGTCGATGGTCGTCTTTTGGACAACTGTCAAGTCAGCAGTCTTCCCCATGATTGTGTAGCCTATAGAACTAGACTGAAAGACCATTTAAAGGCTTTTGCAGGTGGTTTGAGTTAATTAGCTGATTAGAGTGTGGCACCAGGGGCCATCAATTTTGAACCTTTTCACAATATTCAAATTTTCTGATATGATGAATTTGAGATTTTCATTTGTTGTCATTTGTAATCATCAAAATTAAACAAAATAAACATCTGAAATATATGAGTTTGTATGTAATGTATGAATATAATATACAAGTTTCACTTTTTAAATGGAATTACTGAAATCAATCTACTTTTTCATGATATTCTAATTTTATGACCAGCACCTGTATGTGCCTGAAATATTTTTGGCACTAAGATATTGGCTGCTCACAGTTTTCAGGCAGCAATATTTTTGCAGTCCTTTAGACCTCCTTTATTACCAAGCTAAGAATCAAAACAAAACAGGCTCTCTTGGAAATGCCTTTTGGGGATACATCTGGAATGTTGTGGCCTTGCCTTTATACTAGACCTCAAACAATTGGATTAATTGCTATTAATTGATTATTGAAATACTCGTCAACTAATTCAGTGATCGATTCATCGCTAACTGGAGTATAGCGACACTGAAACATGCTTGGAGCTGACAGACCAACCCACTTACAGCAGTTTTTATACCAAAAATTTTGAAAAAATATGTTTTGCATTTAAGACAAAAGAAGAAAAAAATTCTACTTGCAATATATCCTATGCAGAACTCCACAAGTCGAAAGGTTTTAGTTTCACCTGGTTTAATTCTGTAAAAAGGCCTTAATTGGCATTAAAAATCATTAAATGTGATTATCGTGGCATTTAAAATGTTTTTTTTTTTTTTTTTTAGTTTTTAACAACCATTTCATTAGATATATTATATCAGATATAACATGTGTCGCGTGTTTGCACAGAGCTGCTTGTTGATCGTAAAGCCGTATGTTCGGAAAAGAAACGCGAGGCGGAGAAAAAACTAGAGAATATGGAAAATGCACATTTCAACAAAAGTTGCTGGAAAAAGATAATTCCAGACATGGCTGCAGCCTGTCGACAGGAAAGCTGGTAAAGACGACAAAGGATTTTCCAGTTTTATTTATATGTGTGTGTGTGTATATGTGTATATATATATATATACACTCACCGGCCACTTTATTGGGTACACCTGTCCAACTGCTCGTTAACACTTAATTTCTAAGCAGCCAATCATATGGCGGCAACTCAGTGCATTTAGGCATGTAGACATGGTCAAGACAATCTCATGCAGTTCAAACCGAGCATCAGTATGGGGAAGAAAGGTGATTTGTGTGACTTTGAACGTGGCATGATTGTTGGTGCCAGAAGGGCTGGTCTGAGTATTTCAGAAACTGCTGCTCTACTGGGATTTTCACGCACAACCATCTCTAGGGTTTACAGAGAATGGTCCGAAAAAGAAAAAACATCCAGTGAGCGGCAGTTCTGTGGGCGAAAATGCCTTGTTGATGCCAGAGGTCAGAGGAGAATGGCCAGACTGGTTCAAGCTGATAGAAGGGCAACAGTGACTCAAATAACCACCCGTTACAACCAAGGTGGGCAGAAGAGCATCTCTGAACGCACAGTACGTCGAACTTTGAGGCAGATGGGCTACAGCAGCAGAAGACCACACCGGGTGCCTTTCCTTTCAGCTAAGAACAGGAAACTGAGGCTACAATTTGCACAAGCTCATCGAAATTGGACAATAAAAGATTGGAAAAACGTTGCCTGGTCTGATGAGTCTCGATTTCTGCTGCGACATTCGGATGGTAGGGCCAGAATTCGGCGTCTACAACATGAAAGCATGGATCCATCCTGCCTTGTATCAACGGTTCAGGCTGGTGGTGGTGGTGTCATGGTGTGGGGAATATTTTCTTGGCACTCTTTGGGCCCCTTGGTACCAATTGAGCATCGTTGCAATGCCACAGCCTACCTGAGTATTGTTGCTGACCTTGTCCATCCCTTTATGACCACAATGTACCCAACTTCTGATGGCTACTTTCAGCAGGATAATGCGCCATGTCATAAAGCTGGAATCATCTCAGACTGGTTTCTTGAACATGACAATGAGTTCACTGTACTCAAATGGCCTCCACAGTCACCAGATCTCAATCCAATAGAGCATCTTTGGGATGTGGTGGAACGGGAGATTCGCATCATGGATGTGCAGCCGACAAATCTGCGGCAACTGTGTGATGCCATCATGTCAATATGGACCAAACTCCCTGAGGAATGCTTCCAGCACCTTGTTGAATCTATGCCACGAAGAATTGAGGCAGTTCTGAAGGCAAAAGGGGGTCCAACCCGTTACTAGCATTGGGTACCTAATAAAGTGGCCGGTGAGTGTGTATATATATATATATATATATATATATATATATATATATATATATAAATTAGACTTACTCGGTCCTGTATAAACCTTGTTAATGTTTGAGGCAAGATAGGGACAATGTAGATTCTCATCTCTGGGTACCTGAGCAAAGACCCTTAACCCCAGACTTCTCCCTGGGCACCACACAATGGCAGCCCACTGCTCCCAAAGGGGATGCGTTAAATGCAGAGAGTGAATTTAGTTGCTCTGTACTTCTGACAGTGTAACGACAATAAAAAAAGCTTGAGCTAATGTGCTTCTGAATGTATAAACCTGCAGGTAAGGTTAGACAACAGGGCGTTTATGTTTTTTGTTATATTTCGGACATATTTTACTCTTTCTAAAGCAGTTATCTGTAGCATTTTAGATGGTTGTATATCGTCATTCTGACAGGCAAGAGTTAAAGACACAGTGATTGATTTCTCTGATTATCTGACTTATGTCATAGTTGGACATGTCTCTATTCAGCTTAAACTCTTGTCCCGTTTAGGTTCACTGCATAAGCACAGAGTTCACCATGCGCAAGCACGGAGGAGAGAAAGGCGTCCCTTTCCGCATCCAGATCGACACGTTTAAAGAGAACGAGAATGGAGAGTACACAGAGCATCTCCACTCTGCATCCTGCCAGGTCAAAGTTTTCAAGGTTAGAGAAAATAAGGAAAACTGAAATGAAAGCCTCACCAAACTGCAGTACATTAGAGTTTATTGGCCTCACACTTTCCTGACATGTTTCAGCCCAAAGGTGCAGACAGAAAGCAAAAGACAGACCGAGAGAAGATGGAAAAGAGGGCGCCGCAGGAGAAGGAAAAATATCAGCCCTCTTATGAAACTACAATTTTGACTGAGGTGAGCATTTATGAACGAGCTGAAGGCCCGAAAGGCTGGGTGTGAACAGAATGAAGAATACCTTGTTTGCAATACAAAGTGGAGACGCCAAGGGAGAAAATATAAGCATAACTGATCGGTATCAGCTTACAATCTACATGAAGTACAAACTATCAGATGCAGGGTTAAAACAGTGCAGAAAATATTCAGGAAAAGGATAAAGAAAATGTAATTGAATTTGGTCAGTAAATGCATTTAAAAAAATCCATGCAATAATATCTATAAGAAAAACCTGATAAAATGTAGTACAGTCATATTAACACGTATGTGAGGTGGATGGATTCAGCTTAAAAAGAGACAGAGGCCTCATAACATGAAGGGTGTGTTCGGTGTTATATAGAAGTGTTGGTGTGTTGCAGTGCTCTCCTTGGCCTGAGATTACCTACGTCAACAACTCGCCATCTCCTGGCTTCAACAGCACACACAACAGCTTCCCAGTGGCTGAAGGGTGAGCCTGTTTCACAGCTTAAATAATGATACTGGCATTAAATGTAGAGGCAGCAATATGATTAATTTCTGTGACAAATTTATGTTTTTTTTTCTTTCTGCCTTCTTACATGTTTTTTTTTTCTAGCAATGGATCACCAAACCACCAGCCTGAGCCTGTTGTTCAGGTTGCAGATGTAAGTTGATGTTAATTCTGTATATTCTGCTGCATACAGCCCAGTCAACTTTTAAAAACCGATGCAAAGCTGGGATCAGCATGTTTGACACACAGTTGACACTTGAAAAATAAGCAACAATCTCCACAATAAACCTGGTAGTTAGATTTGCAGTGTTATAATCTGGTAACAAATGAACAGAATTTATTTTAGATATCTGGTTAAAATTTTAAAAAGGCGGTGTTAAAAAAGCTAGTGCTGTTAATCGATTAAATTTTTTTAATCGCGATTAATCGCATTTTAATCGCACATTTTCTTCCTGATTGAAAATCATTTAAATACTCTTGATGACATACAAAAAAATACATACAGGCTAGGTTTGTGCCAATGTTCTTTTTTTTAAAATGAGAACAGGTCACAGATACTGATTTATGCCATAGAAACATATGGCAAGAAGATGGGGAGGCATGTAGCAAAAAATAACAAATATGTAGCCAAAAAAAAGGCCCTGAAAACAGGCTGATGTAAAAGACAGTCTTTACAGTTAATACAGTCTTTTGAACAAAGACAAGCATTTTACCCTACTGCTATAAAATGCAGTACAGTTAACATTAGATGTTAATTAACCAAGATAATAATGAACAATTTTCAATCAATACATCAAAATCAATAGACCGACATCACTAGATGGAGGTAGTCTATGCTCTAGAAAGTTACTTTTCAGCCTCTTAACAAAAATGAGAACACACACACAAGCACCCACACACACACACACGCGCGCGATACTGACCTGTGGCGTACACAGACAGCAAGAGTGCCGTAGCAGATTCCATTTCACCTCAGTAATCTGTTTTCTCAGCGTATTTCAGGTTGCTACTAGTTACCAGACACTCAACTTGTTTGTTGGTGGTGGGGCTTAAAGAAAAGGCACTAGCGTCACCCAGTGTATGAGCGTCTTTTTCCCTTGAGGAGCTCCGCTCTCGAAGCCTATGGAAAATGCATACACTGGGGGAAAATAGCCCTGCCTTCTCGCAGGCTGCAGCGGGATGTACTTGGAACATTGTACCATAAAACCACATAGCGTTAATCTCACGTTAAAAAAATTATCGCCGTTAAAATGGCCTCGCGTTAACGCGTTAATAATGCGATAATTTTGACAGCACTAAAAAAAGCACAACTTAGGCCTCTCTAATGCCTATCAGTCTGTAAAGGACTTTTAAAGACAATGTCCAAACTAGTGGAAAACACGTTTTTTTTCCCCCCACAGTTTTTTAATTTCTGCACGATTGGATTTAATAACTAATCTCAAATCCCGAGATTTTAATCTCAGAGCCTCACTTGGCATTTTAAATGTTTCAGATCAATAACGATAGAAGTGTCTGAAAAGGTACGATTTGTTTAGGGTTTTTTTCCAGCAGGTAAAGCAACTGAATTCAAACTTTCATTTAATTGAAGCTTGAAACTTCTGGAACTGCTATGCTGAAAAATAAGGTCAAACATGTCTATCTTGGTCAGATAAAATAATTTTTTATCTTTCTTTTACTTACAAGCTCCCTTCTAAATTAATAAATACATTTAGACATCCATATTTACTAGGGGTGTAAATCACATCCATCATGGCGATTCGATTCAGTATCAGTTTCCTGACCCAACGATTCGATTATTTTCGATACTTAAGAATACACTTCGATTCGATTAATTGATAAATCGGTTAAAACATTTTTTTATTATGATTATTTTTTACACTAAACAAAGTTTCAAGTTTGAAATAAATCAATGAAAGCTGTAATATCGTTATGCATTTTTTTTTTTTGAAACAACAGCAAATAACAGAAGTAGAAAAGTTGCATAAAAAAATACTGCAAAAATACTGCACAGAATCATTGCAATGAGTTCAATTCAATACCTCGGCTCCAGAGTGTGGACGTCCCCGCCCCCTTGAGAGACGCTCTGCTGCTCCTCTCCCAAATTGTAGATGGCAGCTTGTTTTGTTTTTATGACCGAAATTGCGGAAAACAACTCTTGTTTGACCCGCTAGAAGAGCGAGGTGCGCGAGAACGCTGGGACCCTTTTTCCACCTGGATCTCCGCTCTTTTTGGCCCTCATGTCCCTCCGTCGTCGGACTAAACTCGCCCCCACTTCCTTGCCGCCTCGGCCGTATCTAGACCCACAGTGTATAGCACAGACCACGCTTCAATATTGAGCATAATTTCAAAATGTCTGTGTCAAGCTTGCTGCAACACACTGCTGTAAGAGTATAACCAGGAAGCGAGGTAGGAGGGCAAAATAGGTTTAGCGCCACCGCAGCACGGGAGGGAGAATCACGCCCAGGAGCAAATGGATAAAAATAGACCGGAGGAAAAAAAAAACATGAATCGATACTCTTGCGGACGTGTCGATGCATCGGATCGTCGGCTTTTGGATCAATGCATCGATACAAAACGATTATTATTTACACCCCTAATATTTACATATTTTTCACCACATTAACTGTTAAATAAATTGGAATGAGAATCAGTAGTATCAGATAAAAATACTTTTTGTCCATAAAGGCCTATATAGGAAGCATCCCTCGGTTTATTTACTACTAGATTGTTCCATAATTTTACAGAAATATGCATCTAATTTAGGTTTAATAATTATTTTTAAGGTTGCGTTGAGAGACTTTGACTTTAATATCTTTAATTTCTTTCCTTTTAGAATTTGTTACCCACAGCGACACCACAGGAAGCGCAGCAGTGGCTTCATAGAAACCGCTTCTCTCCTTTCTGTCGGCTCTTCACCAACTTCTCAGGTAAGAACAAATTTTAGCTCATTTTCCTGTTGTTTTGTTCTTTTTTCCCCCTTTCACAGTCAGGGCTGCACCATATCAGAGGATCATGTTAAGTAGATTTTTTTAAATTTCCAAAAAAAGAAAAATACACCTTTACCTGAAAAACTATGTTCATAAATCACCCTAATAAATCACTGGCTTCCTGCAGCAAACCAAAACTCTATCATGGCACGGATCAGACCAGTCACAAAATGAATCAATCCTCACATCCCATAATATCCCTGGACGGCTTCTTATTGGTGGTGACAAGCTTGCACCCTTGTTTTCTTTATTTTTCTTTATTTTCTATGACTTTAGAATAGAGCAATTTAACTAAAGAGATGAAAATGTTTGTTGTTTAAACATGGACTTCTGTTAAACCTCTTAACAAAAGTGTTTTATCATGTAAATGGAGGAAGAATAAAACTATTAGCTTCAAATTTTGGACCCAAAATAAGTTAAGTCAGATGGATGTCAAAATATCGACATAAAATGTGTATTTTGATGTTTAACGTCACTGGTTCAGAGATTGGTTCTGTTCTCTGGGGATAGAAGGTGTCATTAAACTTCTCATGGAGCTCTGATTGTTTTTGTCACAACATGTAAACTCTGTGGGTTTTCTCACCAGGGGCAGACCTGCTTAAGCTAACCAGAGAGGATGTCATTCAGATTTGTGGCCCAGCAGATGGTATCAGACTCTTCAATGCGCTAAAGGGAAGGTGAGTTTAAACATTTTCACTTGTTTTAAGAGTAATTCATCTCCAGAGCTATAATATATATAAAAATTCTGTCTGGTTTCAGGGTTGTTCGTCCCAGGCTGACCATCTACGTTTGCCAGGAGTCCCAACAGACTCGGGAACACCAACCAAAGCATGAAAATGGAGAAGCTGCTGCCAATACTTTCTTTGGTCAGTACCTGCTGACTAAACCCTGAGATTTAAAAAATTAATAATTCAGACAGTTAAAAACAACAGTTGGCAGGAGTAATATTCCATTAGAATATTCGAGTTTTACATTAAGGGAAAAATATAGAGTTCAGCTGTTTTTTAGTTATTGTTTTTTTCCCCTTAATGTTTCTGAGCTCAATTTTAGTGCTAGGAAGGGAAAAAAATGACCTTTCAGTTTTTATGCTTGTAAATCCAGGCCTCCTTCAGTCTTTTATTGTTTGTTTCTCTCATTTTAAACTAAATATCTTATCAAAACAATCGCAAAACTCACTGTGTGTACGGTTTTATAGAGTATAATGGGAACCTGATTATAGGAATGAAGCTGTTTATGTTAGTCAGCATGATGAATAGTTTCGAATTTTACTGAACATTTGTTCTGTATTTAGTAACAAATACCTGCTTCTTATTCAGCTTCATTTCTAATGTTTAAATTTGGGAAATATTTTGAAATAGTTTATTTATAAGTGCTCATATCTGCTGTTGTTTATAATTGCTTTTGCTTGCAGTTTATCACGCCATTTACCTGGAGGAACTCACAGCCACCGAGCTCACAGAGAAGCTCGCCCAGCTCTTTAGCATCTCACCCAGACAGATAAATCAGATCTTTAAGCAGGGCCCAACTGGTATCCATGTTCTGGTCAGCGATGAGGTACGACTCCTACTTTAAATCATGTAGAAATGCTCTAAGAAAGGAAAAAAAAACACAAAATAATACATATTAATTTTTCAAACTTCGTCCAATAAATATTTCCTTTGTTCTTAACAGATGATTCAGAACTTCCAAGATGAAGTATGTTTTGTTTTGGACACGATGAAAGGTAATCAATCAGTACTCAAATCCTTTTATCTCTAATTCCACCTTGAAATAATACATATTTACATGATTCAATTAAAAAATCTATTTTCGATGCAAAACAACTTTTGATTTTTAACAATTATATATTTTGAACTTTCTGATCCATTTTATGTTCATGATGTTTTCCCATCTGTCTTGCTAGACAGAATAAATTAATTGAGACTTTGAAGTGTCTTTTTCACATTTATTAAATTTCTAATATCATTCATGCATAGATGGAGTTTTTGCAGCTTACAAAAACAAGAAATATCAATTAGAAAAGTAAAAGTGTCTCTTTTAATAGTGGAGGTCAACACCTCCTAAATTCTAATTAGTTACTAAAAACATAAACTGGCTGTCAATTGCTATTATAAGCTAGCCGTAAAATAATTTGGACAAAAAAAAAAAAAAAAAACTGTTCTTCTGTATAATAGAAATGGTTTAGTAAAAAAAAAATGTATTTTCATTTTAAAAGAAATCTTTTAATTTCTTCATAAAGTTTTAGCACAGCTGTCTCACTGAAAAATCTATGGTACAGTATAGCGTACCTTGGTCTGCAATGTGCAGATAATCCCCTTGTTCTCCATCACATTATATGGCCTCTGAACTTAGACAGTTATATTTTCAGCCCCCTTGGAGCTAGCAGAAAGCTTCATGAAGCACTAGAGTTTGCATTGGTCTGCAGCTGGACCTGCTGATGACGTCACAATATGCAGACGCCACTCAAACTATATTTCATCCATTTCATAAGAGTCAAATCTCTTCTGGAGTCTCAACTCATCATGACTTATATTTGCTATTATTTAACGTTTATTTGGCAGCCACTAGAAAACAATCATTCTAAGGGTCTTGAAGGCAAGACATGCGTTGTAAGAAAGACTGAGCTCTGGCATTTAAGTAGATGACAAAAGTCTCTGTACTTCTTTTAGTCTTTTTATTAAGATCTGAGGGCAGGGCAAGAAGATTGGATCATCTTAAAAAAATTACTTTTGTGTAGATTTTATACAAAACAGTTATTTTACTTGTAGAAAAGGAAAGGTTGTTGTTGAATGAAAGTTTAAAGTAGTATAACTTTATATGCGTTACTTAAAAAACTAAAAGGGGCTAACCTGTTAGCTATTGAGCACAGGTATTTAATTTTTTGTAAATTAAAATCGATTTTGGGAAATTTTAAATGGATTCTGAATCAAATTGAGAATTGCGTTTCTTTTGTGAATAAATATATTTTTATTGGCAACCCTTAGCACTAATCTCAATTTCTAGACATTCAGCGTACAGAGATGGACCTTCAAAAACCTGCTGCTGTAGAGTGCAGTAAACTGTGACTCTCTAAAGTTTTGCCTCAGGTGCTGAATACTGAATACACTGTTGTTATCCTTTGAAAACCATGTCTATTTTCTGCATTGGTCTAACATATAAAACATTTATTTTGTGGTTTCAATGTGAAAAAAAGTTAAGAAATGTATTGTGTAGGTATTATTTTGTAAATAAAAAAAGTTCCCATTTTTCTCTTTGCAGACAACACAAGCGATGGCTACCACATCATCTTAAAGTGATTTCTCTGGCGAAGAACCGTCTGACCTTGTTGAATTATTTAGACCTGCTGCAGTCTGCCACACTAGGCGTTCATACTCCTCGCTGTTGTAGGATTATATGAAGTTATCCTCAGCAACCCCTTGTGGCAGCTAGAAGGCCGATGCGTGTGATGCACCTTGGTCCTCTCCCCCACTGTACCTTAAGGTCCTTCTTTTAAAGGAGTGACTCTTTTAACAGTGTAGTGAGAGTCTCTCTCTTTCCCATCATCTCAAATGTACCTTTCTTTCTGCCGCTTATGTTTCAGGTAGAGCTTTGTGGCACTGAAACAGCTGCTTTCAGATGTACAGCTGGTGTGCCAAAGCTTCCAGCTTTAAAACCATTTTGTTGCCTGGTGCTGACAGCACCTGGCATTCGTTGTGTTCAATACTCAGATGCCTTCCATTATTAGGCCAGTCTGCAGGAAACCTGTCATATCTAAAACAACACCCAGGAAGTTAAGGGAAACTGCTTGAACCTGGCAGTCTTTTAGATCATCTGATTCCTTATTAACTGTTACTTAGAGATAAGAGATAAGAGAATAATACTAAACAGATGTGGGTTGAACCCTATAGGTTGTGTAGACATCACACCAGAACATGGGATCGTTCCTTCGGCTTCTTTAAAGTTGAAAGCCGCTGTTTATCAGTGATCACAATGGCAACACTAACACAGTGTCTTTTCATACCTGTCAGCTTATTTCATTGTGTGTCTCGGACATGTATCCCAACATCATTTTTAAGTAATTGCTGTCTTTTTATTTTTTATTTTTGACAATGAATCATCCTTCCCAGTATTTCTATGGTAAGTTTTTATAATAATTGCTTCAATCCATTGTTGATTTTAACCATTAACACCTGCAAAAGGCTTTTAAATGTAATTGCTTCATGTAGCTAGAAAAAATGCATCCCACTTGGATTCAGTCATTGACTTGATATTGTTTAGATATGACTTTTTGCTCCATCTCATGGTTATTAAAATAATTACTAATGTATTGACAATGGTCTGTTTTATGATTTCAAGAAAACATCCTAACAGCCAACACTATTGTGCTCTGCTTACCTGAGATTTTATGTAGAGTAGTTAAGGAGGGAAACCCAAACATCCTTCTCTCCATCCCAAGGCTTTCCCAGGTTAGAGGTTTTGGGGTCAGACCTTTTTTTTCCCCCAATCTCCAATTTTATCTTTAAGAGCATGGGTGCCATAACGAGCATGTGCCTATAGTCATGATCTGTATTATATGGCAACACTTTCTTGTCAGAATCAAAATAAAGCTCAAAATTAAGAGGCATGGGCCAGTTTTGGGTTAATTTGCAGACCAACAACGACCTATCGACTCCCCAAGGGCTGGACCTGTTTTTTTTTTGGTTCAATTTGCATGTTTTCTAAGCCATTGGCTTTTGTCGGGCTACTCTATAAAACCTGGAGCTCAACGCTACTCCAGACATTTTGCATTGAGGATGCTTTATGGATGGAAAATTAAACGTCATCAAACTTGGAAAACAGCCCAGTGATTTTATTTTTTATTTTTTTAGCTCTAAATTAAGAGTTTGGCCTTTTGCCTAAGCTGCTGTTTTACTGAAGCTTAAGCCCCAAATTATTCCATCCTTCTTGTAGTCGTTCTTGCCATCACTGGCGAATGAGACATTAACTTGTGTGTTTTTAAGATTCTTAGGAGATGCACTAATTGGAAACCTTTTTTTGGAGCACAATTTCAACTACTAAACACAAAAGTCAAATTAAACATTTACCCTGCTTACGGATTTAGACATTTATATTTGCTGAGGATGAACAGATCAAAACGGTCATCAGAATGATTGAAATCTTTTATTCAAATGCTTTTGCACATTGTTGTTGGTGCAATGGATGGGATGGTTAGGGTTTTTTTTTAACTAGTTGTAGGTTTATACATTCAAAACAAATGGACCTTAACAACAGAAAAAACAACACTGAATGCCATCTTTCTTTGTTAATATAAAGAAATCTAGGCTATAATTTCTACTGGGGTACCTAAATTGGATAATGTTCATAGGAGATATGCTAACTGGTCATGTGTGTCTTGGCACATGTTTAGTCTCTTTCTATCATCTGATTCTGGTATATTTCCCAGATCCTACCCTGATTATGGTTATAAATGCACTGTTCCCACCTGATGGCTGCTGCAGGAGGGTAATGCTACTGTCAATAAGCTCTGATTATCTTGAGCTGGTTTCCTGAACAAGATGTTTGCTGTCCTCCAGTGGCCTCCACAGTCACCAGATCTCAATCCAATATTGTGTCTCTGGGGATAAGAGACTCACATGATAGATGTGGAGCTGGGAAATCATGATATTACCATGAGGATATAGAATAACATCTCAGATGGCTGCTTTTTAAAACAATTTTCTGAATTAGTGCAGCAAATAATTTCTAATGGCAAATGAAAACCCTCCACAGGATAAAACTTGTTTCTATTGACTCATAAATGTGGTTTGTGGTTGAGTTTAGATGTTGGTGTGCTCTTATCTGACAAAATGACCCCGGTAATTTAAAGGGCAGTTTTTCATTAAAAGGAAACCCATGCCAATCTTAAACTATGTAAAACGTAACCAGCACTCTATTAAATCATGAATAGACTGCTATTAACCACTCCCTCTTTAGGTCAGCTTTAATAGTAACAACCAGACCGCAGGAATAAAGTAATTGCTTAAATACAGGTGCTGGTCATAAAATTAGAATATCATGAAAAAGTAGATTGATTTCAGTAATTCCATTTAAAAAGTGAAACTTGTATATTATATTCATACATTACATACAAACTCATATATTTCAGATGTTTATTTTGTTTAATTTTGATGATTACAAATGACAACAAATGAAAATCTCAAATTCATCATATCAGAAAATTAGAATATTACTGAAGACCAATAAAAACGAAGGATTTATAGAAATGTTGGCCAACTGAAAAGTATGAACATGAAAAGTATGAGCATGTACAGCACTCAGTATTTAGTTGGGCCTCCTTTGGCCTGTATTACTGCAGCAATGCGGCGTGGCATGGAGTCGATCAGTCTGTGGCACTGCTCAGGTGTTATGATAGCCCAGGTTGCTCTAATAGTGGCTTTTAGCTCTTCTGAATTGTTGGGTCTGGTGTATTGCATCTTCTTCTTCACAATACCCCATAGATTTTCTATGGGGTTAAGGTCAGGAGAGTTTGCTGGCCAATTAAGAACAGGGATACCATGGTCCTTCAACCAGGTACTGGTAGCTTTGGCACTGTGTGCAGGTGCCAAGTCCTGTTGGAAAATGAAATCTGCATCTCCAAAAAGTTGGTCAGCTGCAGGAAGCATGAAGTGCTCTAAAACTTCCTGGTATGTGGCTGCGTTGACCCTGGACCTCAGAAAACACAATGGACCAACACCAGCAGATGACATGGCACCCCAAACCATCACTGACTGTGGAAACTTTACACTGGACTTCAAGCAACGTGGATGAAGTGCCTCTCTTCTTTTCCTCCAGACTCTGGGACCTTGATTTCCAAAGGAAATGCAAAATTTACTTTCATCAGAGAACATGACTTTGGACCACTCACCAGCAGTCCAGTCCTGTTTCTCTTTAGACGCTTCTGACGCTGTCTGTGGTTCAAGAGTGGCTTGACACAAGGAATGCGACAGCAGAAACCCATGTCTTTCATACGTCTGTGTGTGGTGGTTCTTGAAGCACTCACTCCAGCTGCAGTCCACTCTTTGTGAATCTCCCCCACATTTTTGAAGGGGTTTTGTTTCACAATCCTCTCCAGGGTGCGGTTATCTCTCTTGCTTGTACACTTTTTTCGACCACATCTTTTCCTTCCCTTCGCCTCTCTATTAATGTGCTTGGACACTGAGCTCTGTGAACAGCCAGCCTCTTTAGCGATGACCTTTTGTGTCTTGCCCTCCTTGTGCAAGGTGTCGATGGTCGTCTTTTGGACAACTGTCAAGTCAGCAGTCTTCCCCATGATTGTGTAGCCTATAGAACTAGACTGAAAGACCATTTAAAGGCTTTTGCAGGTGGTTTGAGTTAATTAGCTGATTAGAGTGTGGCACCAGGGGCCATCAATTTTGAACCTTTTCACAATATTCTAATTTTCTGATATGATGAATTTGAGATTTTCATTTGTTGTCATTTGTAATCATCAAAATTAAACAAAATAAACATCTGAAATATATGAGTTTGTATGTAATGTATGAATATAATATACAAGTTTCACTTTTTAAATGGAATTACTGAAATCAATCTACTTTTTCATGATATTCTAATTTTATGACCAGCACCTGTATATCTGAGGACACAAGGCCAAAAGGGCTCTTAAAAAATGTTTCCTGATTGAAAGAGATTTAAGAGCCCCTAAGAAACAAAGTGAATGTGATGCGTTGGTGTATCGCCAGTGGGACCACATAGAAGTAATTTCGAAATTAGAAATTCTTGAAAAAGAGATGAGCCTTCCTGGGGTGGTGAACATATTAAGCAAATGGGAATATTACGCATATTCCCTAATGTTGGAAAAGAGCCTGAAACAACAACTAGAGCAAAAAAAAAAAAAGATGTCCCACCAGCAGCCAAAATGATGATAGGGATTGCTGGAAAAGCCACAATAACAGAGAACAGCTACTACTGCTGGTCTCTGGCACATCATTTTGAGAGGCCCAGCCTCAGTTTGTCACTATATTTTAGATATGCAAAAGAAAAAATCTAAATAACAGCAGCAAGTCCTCAATGATAAAAAATTAATAAACTTTATTCCCCCAAAGTGGATCTTAATTTAGTTTCAATTTAAAAACCTTAGATAACTCATTTACACCCAAGTGTTCACAAAATGTAGTTCCACTGGAAAAGTGGATTCATAATGATGTACAGATAAATGCTGGATATCAGCCAATGCTGCTGCTTTGGTTTTAATCTTATTTTTTTTTTATGTGATAAATAATTAATTTTGTATAATAAAGTAGCTGATTTAGTCGTATTTTACATAAAACCAAGCTAAAACATACAATAAACAAAGAGATAGCGAAATTGAACTAAACACTCAATTTCCCAGAATGCCTCATTGCAGGGTGAGTTGGTGACCTCACAATGAGTATAAAAACGTCTGCAGGAAAGAATTTCTTCCTCCATTGTTACATTGTAACAAGCGGGGCCGGGGCGAACCGGGGGAGGTGGAAAGGCGTCTTCTCGGTCGAAAGTCTCCAACAATTCGGCACCAAAACGAAACAAACTATCCGCGTTTCTTTTCATTTTTCTTATTTTTCTTCCATTTTATGTTATTTAAAAGCGAGAAGACGACGCCCAGCCAAACGAGCCCGGTCCCAGCGAAGAAACAGCAAAAGGGGGGAGAAAAAAAGCGATAAACGAGCACATATGACAGCGGATTCCTCAATTATAATCTTTTCCAGCCTAATATTAGGAAGCTAAAACACCCGGCTGTGTGCGTTGTTCATACTGCACCGAAAAATGTTAGGAGAAAACCCACCGCTAACCCAATGACGCCCCTCTCTATTTCTTTTTTTCTCTCGGCTGTCCTTTAAACAGAGGTATGCCATATTTAAATAAAAGCTGTAGCTCCTGTCAGGCAACTGTCGTCTTTTGGTGTGTAGAACAATAAGCTTGCAAAACCAAGTAACCTCATATAGCTAGAAAGAGAAAGAAATAAGTGTCGCAAATTGACAATCAGCCAGATCACTTTGTTGCAGCGATATCTGGGGTTTTGCACATAAAAAAATCCCCCCACTGCGCGATAAAAGATTGATGTGTGCAGCTTGTGTTGGAAAGAGACGACCTCCGAGGCTGTTGGATTAAGGGCCCCTCTTTCTGCCCAAGGTAAGGGGGTTTAATGTTTAATTAAATGGGGGTCTTTGTGTGTGTGTGAGAGGTGGGATATGGTTAAATGGCGATAGGGGGACCGAGCATTTGCCTGTTTGATAATGCATTTTAACCCTGATCATTTCCACACTGCAAGTCACGGTTGGATTAAAATACAGCAGCCAGCTTCGAAGAAAGAAACCAAAGACCTGATTTTAATAACATTTTTAAACAGTAGTTCTTGCATGAATGCTGCTCTGGGCTCCACATGTATGCATGGCGTAGTGTTGACTATATTGAATGGGAGTATTGCTTTTTTTGCATCGTGCATTAGATGTAATTTGATGCAATTTTTATGCTTTAATGAATTCTGTTTTCCTATTCCATGTTTGTTCACCTTGATGGACCTAAAGCTTATAGAGAGCGTGCAGGGGACAAAGAGATGACTGCCACCACTGCATGCATGCATGCTTTATTATTGTGCACATTTGGTGCAAAGAGGAATGACATTTTTTTTCTTTCTCAAATAAAATAAAGACCTTAATCCTTTATAAGGCACTCAGTGAAATACTTTGAAAATCAACATTTCAAGCCAATAGTGTTATTGGAATCCAAGACAAGACCTTATTACCTTTGTAACAATCAAATCAATCAAAAATATGGATATTTTATGGTAAAAATAAATGTCAATGTAATAATAAGAAAAGCCAACTTGCCCGAATATATTAAGAATTAAATATATTAAGAAATTCATGAAAAATGCATAACCTTAAGGGCAGTAATGTTGATACTGGCCCTTACATTTTTTTTAGTTTTTAAACCTGAATTTAATTGTTAACTAGGCTTAATTGACTTTTGAACTTTACTTTTTAACTTTTCAATTAGCTTTTCACCCTTTTTTTTCTTGTCAACCTTTTTTTCAACTTAATTTACAGTAAGTAATGTTTCAGTCAAGGGCTCATCTAATTGGTCAAATGCCAAAATAAGATGTACAGTCATTTAGCAGTATCTTTGCTGAATGATACCGAGGGACGAGGGACAGTGGCGCCACCAGTGCAGTAGCCAGGGGTGGCCATGGCCACCCTGTGCAAAGCCTTGGCCACCCCGAAGGCCAGGGTAAATTGGAGTAAGAAAAAAAAAATCACAAAATAAACCAAGATATGAATAGGTGTTTACTTTAGTCTTAATGATTTCTACAGACAGGTTTACAACAATAATAGATTCAAACCCTGAAATGATGGCCTTTAGTTTCAGTGTGCCACCCCAAGATTTTTAGTAGCCACATCTGGCCACAACCTATGAAACATTTCCGTAGGCACCACTGAAGGGGGGGGGGACTCCATTTGTAAGGGGTATGCAAGCGATCAAAGATGCTAACTTGCCCTAAAAAGGGTTAAAGATCCAATGTGTTTTTAAGAATCCCAGTGTATAGTTCTTTTTTTTATGTTTCTCCAAATTAGTATGGTGATCCAAAGAGTTCAATGAAACCCAAACAATCTTTCCTGTCTAGACTAATTAAAAAACTGTTGACCATTTGGAGAATTTACTGGAGATCATCAAATTCAGTGTAATAATTGAAAATAAACACAAAACAAAACATCTGTAGACACCTGGAAAAAGTTGTGCATCAGATATAAGGATCAGGATCAATTAATGTTTTAAGGTGGCTCTGGTTCTGGCAGCAGGATACAGATCTAAATAGTGTATGTGATCCGATGCATGAAGAATTTAACAACTACAAATAATAATACAGATTTTATACATCTATTAAATCTATATTTGACAGGGATGCAAACAAACATCGTGCCAAAAAAAGCATGTCCCTGAAGCTCTACATATAGAGTTAATGCTAAAGGATATACATATTTCAATACTTAACATACTTACCTTATTTACTTAACTTATTTATGAAAAAGGCATTAATATTGTTAAATAAATATTATAATGAAAGTGCAATGAACAAAGGAATATGAAAAAAGTAATTTATGTAACAGATGATTATATCAGCTCTACTAAGAAGTAAGCAGAAATGTAATTATCTCATTAACAGTAAAACTAGATGTATGGTTGAGGTAGTGTTAGGAATGTGTTTATTGCTACTTGAAAATGTGAAACAGCAAAAGTAATTTACAGTATTCAAAACCAGCAATCTTATTGTTTATATAGTAATAGTACTTAATAATGAGATTAGAAGATTAGAATAGAAATACCTTTTGTCTTGCAACAGTGAGGATTTATAGTTCGGTCAGCAGCAGAGCAATAAATAGGAGTCAAAGCATAACTTAAGCTCATATGCACTGTGGAGTAAAAAAAAACAAACATATCTCCAAAGAAATAGACAATAATGACAGGTCATTACAGTTTTTCTGGATTGTTTACACACATTTCTGAAAACATGCCTCGTATTCTCAGAACTCTTCACACAAATCCAACAAACACACACACAATGGGCAAAACCCTTCAAATCTCCTGCAAAATGAAACTTTACATTCAAAACAGTTTTATCTCTTCACAAAAGGCCATTTTGTGTTCAGATGACACACACAAACTATCATATGAACAGACAATTAAAAAAAGCATTTAAACACTGATGTGCTCAGTGTAAAACACCATTCTCCATTCATCATAATGACTTTTTGTTCAGTGTTACACTTACTACGGACATTAAATACATAAGTGCGTTGTAAAATACTTTAGAATATTGTTTTTATACTCAGAACACACAAATATACTGTAACAAACTATTTTTGCCACAAAACAATGTACACAGTGTACATCCCAACCGACACAAAGTTGCACATACAGTGCAGAAGATTTTACTGTATACAGTTACAGTAATAATAAAAAAAACAAAACAAAATAAACTATGCTGCATCCTCTCTTCTGTTTCGGTCTGGCCACAGCACCTCATCTACATCACAAGCAATGTTTTCCCTGGCCAAGCAGCGGGGGAAATATCGCCTAGCATGGCGAATCCAGCCATGAAAAGCATCAACTGCTATATCTCCACATGCGTCTTCCATAGCTTGGAAAAGGGGTATACGCGTTTCTGAATTTAGGTCGTACACTTTCCATCTCCAGGCAGAAAAAAATTCCTCAATAGGATTGAGGAATGGAGAATATGGAGGGAGATAAACAACTGAAAAGCGTGGGGGGTCAGTGAACCAGAGCAGCCCGGTGGAAGCTTACGTTGTCCCAAATGACAACGTACCTGAGCTGCTCTGGGCCGTCTATCTGATCTGGTGGAATGAGTGTGTTGTGTAGGGTGTCCAGGAATGTGATCAGATGGGCAGTGTTGTAGGGGCCAAGGGTAGCATGGTGATGGATGATGCCATGGTGGGTCATCGCTGCACACATTGTGATGTTCCCTCCGTGCTGGCCAGGGACTTCAACAATGGCACGCTGGCCGATTATATTCCTTCCCCTCCTTCGTCTTTTTGTGAGGTTGAATCCAACCTCATCAATGAAGAAGAACTGGTGCTCCACTGCATCCACCTCCAGCTCAAGGACTCTCTGAAACACACATGACAATATCAGAAGTAGACATGGAGCGGTCACTATTGTGAAGCACAATCATTATGATTACAATATAATAGAAAGAAATATGTATGATTTATACAATGTTGACAGTATGCATCAAGGGTGGGAATGTATAGGACGTACTTGCACATAGTTATATCGCAATTCTTTGACTCTTTCTGAATTGCGCTCAAATGGCACCCTGTAGACCTGCTTCATCCTCAGTTTATTTCTGTGCAAGACACGGTCCAGCGTTGATAAACTTACCCTATCAATATTTTGAAATATCTCATTGTTTTCTATTGTTTTTCTTTATATTTGTCGTAAGGTAATGGCGTTATTTTCAAGAACCATGTTCATGATCTCTCTTTCCTGTTCAGGAGACAGAAGACGGCCCCGTCCACCTCTTGTTGGTAATCTTTCAGTTCTGCAATACAAAGAGTGCAATACTGTAAATACTGTGTAGGACTACATTTCCCAAATACTCGAAACACAATGTCCTACAGAACAGTCCACAGGTAATACTGTACTACTGTACTCATTGAGTACTGTATTGATATGCAGTACTGCAGTTTTGTAGTGAGAGTAGACATGGTCAACCAAAGTGGCTCGGATCTCATCAGAAATGATTGTCCTTGGCCTTCCTCGTCCTCGTCCTCGTCCTCCCCATCATCCTCCTCTTACTCTCACTCCTCTGGCTCTGGCTCTGCCTCTGTTTACAACATTGGCCTCCATTGCTCCAAAACAGAAGAGCTCACCTGTTGCCCTTTTATGCTAAAGCTCTGATTGCTGAGTGGAAACATGTGTGTTAGGTGTTTGCCCATGTGAGGAGTCAGTGTGCATAGTAGGGAAATTAACTTTAGAGTTTTGAATAACAGTGTGTTCCTTGTGAAAACAAAAGATTTTCTTTATGACAATTGTGTGTAGAGTTTTGGAAAAAGTGTGTTTTAGAACTGCAATTTGAGTGTAAAGCAGGAATTGTGCTTGTAGTTTAGCAGAATTGGTTCAGGGGGTTGGTGCATGAGTTACATTTTGTGGTCATTGTGTTTCAAGTACCAATATTTGTGTGTAAACAATCAAGAAAAACTGTAGCTTAGCAAAGAGAATGAGTGAAGGGCAAATATTCCTACTATAATTACTGTAAAAACTAGGGGAAAATTTGAATATTCATTCATCTGCACTGATCTTTAAACCTCTTCAAGGGCAAAACAAATACAGAAAAGTGTCATTCTTAAATTAACTTCCAACTTTCACCTGAATGGATCAGATTCTATTAATACATCTAAAAACTAAAATAGCAGAACAAGAAATATAGTGAGACCTAAATCAGCATTACTTGATTTTTCCACAGATCCCATAACCTGTATGTGTATGAATACAATTTCTCATAGTCTTTACTCTCTGGGCAATTACTTTTAATTTGACAAGACATGAATTCAATCAACAATAAACCTTGTATGTAGTGCTTCTGAGTAATATTTTTTTTTCTAAGACTATCTAAGGTACAAATGTCTTTAAAAAAAAGAACAAAAATTATATTAAAAGCTACATTGAGAGTTTCTCTTGATAGAAGGTTGCCTCTCAAATAGACCATTTAAATCATGTCCACAGGCCATCATCAACATTTGCTGTTATGGCTCACTGCCCAGGGTGGAATGGATTGGAGGGGTTACCAAGAGCATTCACATTAGATTTGTCTGTTAACTGTTTCCGTATTGATTATTACGAGGTCCAGTCAGGCTTAATATCTCCTTCATTGTAAGCACATTAAGAAAAATAAAACACTTACCCTGTCTGTGGCTAATGCTAAAGATGATATCAGACTCACCTTCTTTGATTTGGAGATAATTCAAGGTAGTTTTTCACAGTTTTTAGGGAATCTGGGATCTAGGGAAGTGATAAATCATCTTATTAAAAGTCTAAACCCTGTTTATTATTATTTTTTTTTTAGCAGTATGCTGCGACCACTATTCTTCCTGAGGTCAGTTTTTGTAAGATGACTACGGAAGAGGATTAGGGCCACTGAAATTTTTTTTACTGATTTTTACATTTTATTTCAGTTAAGTATGGGAAAAAAGTCAGAATTCTGACTTTAATCTCAGATTTCTGACTTTTTTCTCAGACTTCTGACTTTAATCTCAGAATTTTGACTTTTTTCTCAGAATTTTGGATTTTACGTAATGTAGATGGGCACCATGAAGGAAGAGATGTGGGAGCACTCAGCTTCACTGACAAAGATGTGAGTTTGAGAGGGCCAGTGACACATTGGTGGAAAATGACGGAATTAGGCAACTTTTTACGTGCCCGAGGGGTCCCCTCATTAATAGAGGAGCAGAAGGTCATTAAAACAAGAGAGCTAGTCTCTAAAACAGACATGGCTATGGCTTGATGCTAACATGTTTGTTATCTGTAAGAATTCTGAGAAAAAAGTCAGAATTCTGAGATTAAAGTCAGATATCTGAGGAAAAAAGTCAGAATTCTGAGATTAAAGTCAGATATCTGAGGAAAAAAGTCAGAATTCTGAGATTAAAGTCAGATATCTGAGGAAAAAAGTCAGAATTCTGAGATTAAAGTCAGATATCTGAGGAAAAAAGTCAGAATTCTGAGATTAAAGTCAGAATTCTGAGGAAAAAAGTCAGAATTCTGACTTTTTTCCCATACTAAACTGAAATAAAATGTAAAAATCAGTTAACTTTTTTTTTCAGTGGCCCTAATCCTCTTCCATAGAAGAAAAAAATTATTTTTATGATGAAGTATTAAAAGAACATTTTCCATTTTCACCACTTTTAAGAAAGACACCTACTTAATCTTTGAATATGGAGATATTTTACATTTCCCTTACAATAAAGAATAAATCAATACTTTTTATAATGTTGTCTAAGCTACATTAGCCTGACTGCTATTCTGTGAATCTAACCAAACATGCATCTAGTTATCCTTATTATCTATGTGTCTATCTGTCCTTCGCCTGGCATTTTACTCATCTATCTAGCTGAACACACACACATAGCTCTGCCCAGGGCATCGCTGATGCAAATTGCAGAATTTTTTACAATGTTCTATAAAGTCTGTTTGGATTAGGCATTATTTGAGTTTATAAACCTCCAAAAATCTAAATATCAAGCTTTGGTTCGTTTGTTCAAGCTGCAGATGTGATAAACACCACCTTGCGAAATCTAAAACAGGATCAGGTGGGTTAATGCCATAGAGACCGTGTGCTTCAAGGCTCTTCGCACAAACTATGCTTGCACCAGTTGCTATGGTTACAGTTCTACTCTTGATAATTTCAGAATAGGATTTAATGTGCGATGTTCAGGACGGAGCGGTGGTGGTGGTGGGGGTGCCTACAGATGAAATGATGGAGGTGGAATACAGATGAAAACGAGGCAGGACTGCGCAGATGTCGCCTGCGTTTTTTTGGGTTTTCATGGTGAAAAGGAGAAACTAAACCCGTCTTTGGGACAGTTTGACCTGCTTGATTTAAAACCAACACAAATATTTAGCCCTCAAATACTAACACTACTTCTCTCATTTGACTTCTACGCTTGTATTTATACACAATGGTTGTTTGTAGTGTCTCGATTAGTGTTGATCTGTCCCCTCAGATAGCAGGTTTCCATGGAGGCAGGTCCGTCCCTAAGTCTCAAAAGAAGATATGAAGAGGTGGACAGCAGCTCTCTGTTTTCTACACCTAAAGACTCGGACGATGACATCTCCAGCAGCGACAGCGCGGACAGCTGTGACAGCCTCAACCCACCTTCCAGCACCCCGTTTACTCGTAAGTAACATCAGGAAAGACACATAGAGCAGAAGAAAAAGCAACACACCTGCTCCAATCAAAACAGTGACAATAAAGTCCTAAATATTTATCTCTTTCCCTTCCCCGCCATTACATCAGCCACCTCCATCCTTAGACACCACAAGCCGTCGCCAAGGGGGAAGCGGGTCCGTTTCGATGTGGTGACGGTGTATTACTTCCCCCGGCGGCAGGGCTTCACCAGCGTGCCCAGCCAGGGGGGGAGCTCCCTGGGCATGGCCCGTCACCACTCTTCCATCAGACACTACACGCTGGGAGAGTTTGCACGCGAGCAGGAAAGCAGCCACAGACATGCTCTGCGCCAGCACCTGCGTCAGGAGAAGCTCAACGCTCGCAAGATGAAGGTACTTTCAACCGAGATGAAAGGCTGTACGATTTTTGCCAAAAATCTAAATTGATATTCTTTTGTTTTTATTTTTTACACCATAATTTCAATTTTATTTCAACTATATCTCTGAAAGGTATTTGTAGTTTGCATGCAACTTTGCGCATTTTATTACAGCCACCTAAAGAGCTGGAGGGAGAAAATCGGTGTCTGACTAGTTAAATGTTTCGGCACCAAAAATCCTGTGGCTCCACGATTGCAGTCACAGCTCTACATTCTCGTCCGCAGCTGACGAGGAATGGCACGGTGGAGTGCGCTCAGGCAGACCTGCTTACACTGGAGGACGTATCAGACGAGGAGCTCGATGTGGATGCCGTTGAGGTGGACGACTGTTTCTTCCTTCAGCCTCTGCCTACGAAGCGGCGCCGAGCCCTCCTGCGGGCCTCTGGCATTGCACGCATAGATGCCCGGGAGAAAGCCGAACTCAGAGCCATCCGCCTCTCCAGGGAGGAGTGTGGTTGTGATTGCCGCCTGTTCTGTGACCCTCGCCACTGCGGCTGCAGCCAGGCTGGTATTAAGTGCCAAGTAAGTCTTTTTGGGCTCCAGGACTTTCCTAAAGACAAATCATGCAGATATTAAAATATTTAAAATTGTTTAATTAATTGTTTTTCAGGTGGATCGGATGTCTTTCCCCTGTGGCTGCTCAAGAGATGGCTGTGGCAACATCGCAGGCCGCATCGAGTTTAACCCCCTCCGTGTCCGAACACACTACCTGCATACCATAATGAAGCTGGATGTGGAGAACAGGAGGTTGCCATTACAAGGGCCTGGGGAGCCGTATACTGAATCTGACCCCATGTCTTCACCCTCTTCTACATGCCCCACATCCCCAACCTTGTCCTCAGGCATCGGCCTGGACTCAGAGCTGGAGGAGAGTGAGGTGCAGTCAGTGGAAGAGGTTCATGATCTCTTGGTGGAGCAGGATATTCTGGAACGAGAGAATGAGACGGCTGTCCTGCACCTGCAGAGTGCAGAGGAGCAGGAGAGGAGGGAAAGAGAGGAGGCTGAGGGAGAGGCGGTGCAGCAGGAGCTGAGCTCCAACGGGATCCCAGAGCAACCACTCTGCCTCCTACCTGAGCAAGCAGAAGCTACAGGTGTGGATCAGATCCTCTTGCAGGGACCTTTTCCTACAGGGGCTACGGTCCTGTGTATCTCTGACACCCAGGAGGAGAGCCCCTCCGAGCTCCTCAAAGACTCCACCTCTCTGCTGTACTATCAACTCAGCACCATAGAGCCTGGAGCCTTTGAAACACTGCCTGCAACCGAGGAAGAAGAACAGAACGAGCCCTTGCAGAGCGCGAGTGGATCCGAGCTTGCCGAGAAGAACCAAGAAATAGTCGAGGATTTCCAAGGGGACACACTTGATGACAATGCCAGCAGACAGAGTGTGGGCGAGTGCTTGACCAACATGCATTTGTGCACAGATGACAGTGCAGCAGAGCTGGAGGAGAGGCCTGCAGCTCCTGATAAAGCCGTCCCGAAACAGCAGAGCCAAGATGAGTTCTGCCGGGCAAAAGAAGCAGATCCACTGCCTCCTGAAGTTTAGCATTAGCATCTTTGCAGATATTTTGCACAATATCTTCATCTAAGATGAGTAAAATACATATTTCACATTAATCACTGCAATCCTCAAAGTATACAGGTCCCTTATAGTGACTAACATTACATTATGTGCAGAAAGGTGTTAGAGTATAAGAGAAGAGATGCTGGAAGCACATAAAGATCACTCCTAAGATGTAGTGAGAATGCAGTTATATGAAGGCAACATTGGAGGGAATTCTGTTGGGGTGATGAATGCGGCCTTATTTGGAAACCATTAACAGCTACAGAAACAGTGAGTGTAAATGCTGACTTAAGCCTTTTGTTTGCTTGATGTATAAAGCTATTAAAGCTGAACACAAACTGTTTATTGCGGACAAGACGCCATGCTGTAGTCAAGCCAAATGAAGGCCTCTGATCGTTCCCTTGGCTAACTACACCGAATGATCCTGGAAATACTTGTTTCTGCGTACTGTTCCTGCAGCATTCGCAGCCTGCTGGAGAGCTGCTTTTCTTTTTTTTTTATCTGTACGCACATTGTGAAGTTAAAGCAACACAAGCCTGGGCACCACTGGTCAGACAAGTAGAAAAGAACCAAGAGAGCAGCGAATTAGCGCGGTCCTTAGCTGTTACTAACGCTTACTTTGGACTGCTGGCACAACCGCAGTCAGACAGACAAAAAGCAAAGGTCACCTCCAACTAATTTACTGACTATTTCTCGAATTATTGTGTCTTTTGTGAATTACATGCTGTTGGTTTTAAAGTCCTTGCAGACTGGGAAGGCAAGGAAAGGTTATTTGTTTCACAGCGCTACATTATTACATTATAAGCAGTCAGATCATGTGATGATGAAACACCAGAATAGAAGTTAGTCATTTAAATGCTTTTTTTGTGCAAGAAAGTTCAGATTATAAATCAAACCAGATTAGAGTACCTTGCAAATGTATCTGTATACCTTGAACCTTTTAGCGATTCCTAATTATTTTACACAGATAGAAATCCAGTAAGTGTGGGGCGCTTTTGCAATATTTAAGGTAAACTTTCTTTTTAAAATAACACAAGCTCTGATTTGACTAAAAACATCTTTAAAGAGTGATTTCAAAGTCTTAGCAGAGAACCATTTGACCCAGAGAGCTGCTTTATGGTAGTCTGAGCTAACTCTGCATAAGCTAAATAAGCTAAAAAAATTGTTGTTGGGCAACAAAGCTGATATAATTCCTACCTGATTAAACACAGTTTTATCTCTTTGATGTGGGATTTAACCCAGAGGACTGAATGTTTCCTCGTCTTTCCAAGTAACTCCATGTCCTCGCAATCTGCTGGTCCAAAGTGGTTAGCTATCAGATTCAGGAATGAAAAAATTCATCAGAAGAGTCTATTATTGAAATAATCCGTTACTAATTTAGTAATTGATTAATTATTAAGTGACATAGACAGATTTTATTTTGTCATTTTGTACACGCAAGTGTAAGCAAAAAGAAATTTCATTAAGTACAGCTGTCTAGACTATTTCATTTTTTAAACTAGTATAGAAACTCATACAAGTAGCTTTAGCTGACAGAGCAACTCACTTAGAGCAGGAAATATATCAAAAATAATAAAAAAGATATTATTTTGCATTTAAGATAAAGAAAATCGTCTTTGTTCGTCAATATGCTCTGTCCACTACTCCTAGTGTGGAAAAGTTTTAGTTTGACCTATTTCAATTTCGTACAAAGTTTTCTTTAAGGAACCTTTGGTTATCCGATTATTAATCAATTATATGAAAAAAATAATCCACAGATAATCGATTTGCATCGATTAATCTGCAATCAGATTCCGTGTGACACAGGGAGATTGCTTCATTTTGCGGCGTTGACTTGGAGGTTACAGGTCTAGCGCCCCTAGTGGCATAACTTAAGCCAGTGGTTCCCAAAGTTTTTTTCTTGGCCCCTGCTTTTTTTTTTTTTTACAATAAAATTTTTTAGCCTCTAAATTTATTATTGTGAATTAATACAAGCAACGTTGTTCTTTGTGCCATCATCAGCTTGTCGTTAGATTCTATATTTCTCTGATTAGAGAGTCACTAGTTGATCGTCGTGTGTCTCTGCTCCTTCAGCACTCATTGACGTTGCTGCTGTAGCCATCTATGCTTCTTGATCTTCAATACTGTACTAGTCCATGATCCTTACCAGGGGTTTCTGGTTTATGGCTACTTCCTAAGGCAGGTCAACTTTAACCCACCTAACAGGACCTTCCAGTTGGTCATAAGATGTACAGGTAAATGTAGAAGGCAGGGGATGATTGGATAAAATTTGTAGCGTTATTCGTCTCATCTGACCGGAGCAGCTTCTTCCGCATGTCTGGTGTGTCTCCTACTCTGCTTGTAGCCGTCTATAAATCAGACTAGTTTTAGTTTCCCTTCCAAAAATTTCTCATAACCTATCCTATTATTTAAACATCTCCATCTGACTCGTCCACAGTGTTCCATGCTCCTCATGATTCTGTTTATTGTTCCCCCAGCAGACATCTGATGCCTTCACAGAGGAGCTTATACTGGGTATTTTTGCACACAGGTGGATCATCTTTAGCTTTGAATTGGCAGTTTGTTGGACTGGATTTTATTTTAATGGGGAATCAGTGTAAATGGGGCTTCATACAAATCCAAACCACACTTTTAAGTTGTATTTTTCTTCACGTTTTGGTTGTAACATAAATAGAACACAAATTAAAAAAAAAGTTCAAGGAATATAAATACATTTGCAGGGACCTTTATGAATAAAAAGCACTTAATGAGTAAATTGCAACATGTGCAGCTTAAAGTACTTACACCAATCAATTGTTAATAATTTATGGATCAGATTTACAGCCTGATCTTGTGTGTGTAAAACGTGTTTGTGTATTCACCTACTTTATTGTCGTGCGTCTACGTTGGAGAGAAAGTGCGTATAATTGTGTGCATGTATGAGTGGATGTTTATTAGACTGTATTTAGACCTGGAATTTTAGTGAGGATGTGTATTTTTAACCTTAAAGGTGCTGATGTTATAGATTTTCAATTTACAGTTGTGAATCCTTAGGAGGAATGATTTCATTATGTTTTTCTTGCTAATTGATCCTGAGCTGAAAGTCCTGAGGAGCCTCCTGTAGAGAAGCGATAGTCCGGCGCTGCAGATTCTGAATGTGCTGACGGTAAAATGAGGCGTTTTTCCGTGACGGGGAGTTAAATCGCAGACATGTAACTCTTTCCTGGTTACTTTTTTTTTCTAAAGTCTTTTTGTCTGAATAATACAGAGCTGCAGAAGTGAGCCGACAGCTCTTACACAAAATCAGTCCTTTGTTCTGTTGCCTGAAATTCCTACTGTTGCTCTTGGCAACGGCTCGCCTAACACAGGATGTGCTGCTGTGTATAAGTTGTCTGATGTGTTTTAGCCTTTTGTTTTGTCTTAATATAATCCTGCTTCAGAGCTGCAACAAAGCAGTGGTTTCAGACCTAATTAAACGATGCTGCCATCCATCAGTCTCTCACAAAGCAGTATCTGGAGTTGTTGTCAGGCCGCAGATTTATCGTGGCTCTTCTGTGCTCGCATGAAGCCTTGATATAACACCATGTTTGAAGTGATGATGATTTCAGGCTGACTATTGTTGATCTTTGGGTTTTTTTCTGCTGATAAAATTAGGTGTGGGACCACTGTTACGCATTAACTCTTCTGTCTCTGCGTGTTTAGCCGTGTGAAAGGGATGTGATGTGTGATTGCTGAGAAGACTGATGACGTCTGACTTTCAACTTTATGCTGTGGGATCAACTCTCATGCTACTTGTTGCCTAAAGTGGAAAAAACAAAGGTTTTTATACAAAAATAAAAACAATAAAATACTTCAAGCGGAAAGTGTTCTATCCTGTCGTTTGTTAACACTGGCTTTTTTCTTACTGATTAATATATAACCTGATTCACAACTGAGACAAATGTTACTGATATTAAAGTAAAGTTCCTGATCGCCTGGAGATTGTGTAATTTTTCTCTCTTAAAACCTGTTTTATTGTTTATGGTAGTTTATTAACAGTTTGGGGAGAGACTAAATTACCAAAAATACAGAGCAAGCATAAAGTTAAAAGAAGTCATAGGTGAGATGTGGTGAAATTAAAAAGAAACATATGTTGGAATCCCAACATTAGGGCCTTTTAGGTGGTCTCCAGGTTTGTATTAAGATTTTCACCAAATATGCTTTTGTTAAATTTCTCAGTGTTTCAGTATTCTCAACTACTACATCATAGATCAAAGGTTTGGATCTGTCAGGGTTTGGTTGAGGTTTGAGGACCCAGATGCAGAGAGGTGGAGGAGATTTCTTGCAGTTTAATGGGGGATAAAAACAGTAAACAAAGGCAGGAAACTAAAAATCCAACTAATAATGAAAACCCAACAGGACCATGGAGACATCGGGAAAATAATCACGGAGAGACGAGGTAGGAAGAAAACAACACAGAGATCCAGCAACGACAAGGAACCAACAAAGAGTGACAGCAGAGGGAGAGTATATGTAGCTGACTGAGACAATGGCAGGGCTAACGAGCTGACAAGGAGCAGGTGTGAGAGGAGACAACGAGGGAGCCAAGGGGAAAGGAACACACAAGAGGGCAACAGAGGAAAACCACAGAAAAACCTGAGAACATAAATCTAGAAACTACAACAAAATACAAATTATACCTTTAAAACAAGGAGCAAAGTAAAAAACAACAGAACCAAGACCATGACAGGATCCCTATAGTTTTTTGTTTTTTTTTTTTACCCCCAGACTCTCAGCTCAATTTTAGTCCCATCAAAGACTTTAATGTGTTTAACTTGTTTCTTTTAATACAATTGTTTTTACTTTAACTTTTCAGTGAACTACTTTAAACCAGGGGACCTTCAACTAGGCTCCAAGTTCCTGAGGTCCCCATAAAACTCATACATGCATGGTTAAGACAATAACTGCTTATTTTATGCACATCTCTGATTAAAATCCTTTGCTGAAATCCCTACAGAATGCTTATTGTAGTGTGAGTGTCACAGAACTCTTATTACATTGGATCAGTCCATCTTACTGCACAAGAAGAGAGCAGCTAAAACTTTGAAAGCAAACAGTAGTGATGGGTTGATGAGGCGTCATGAAACGTTTCGACACATTACCAAACTGTATTGATACAGTGTCGATACTGTGTCACTGAATACTGACACCTGCTGGACATTAAAAATCCCTACAGGCAACCTAGTTGACAGAGTTAACTGACACTGATTTGATGACCTATTATATTCACTAATATGATGCAATTCATTGTATGATGCATTGTATTATTATTAAAACATATTTGATATTTTAGACACAGTCAATGAATAATGAGAACCTGCATCATAATTTAATAATCTCTAATCTG